CTTTTACTGTCTATGAAGGCAGCGAGACAGATGGGTGCGGTGACGAGGGGATTAGATGGAAGAGGCAGGGCAGAAACCCGGGTCTAAAAAAATGCAGCCCTCACGAGAGAATGACCAGGCCAGCCTTCGTGCAGGCCAAGAGGGGAGGTGGGGAGCCTTGTGATGGATGTACCCTATGACTGGAGCCATTGGCACGCCCACATGGAGACGCCACCAAGGCCAGGCCAGAGGAGCAGGCAATCAAAGAGAGGCCGGAGGGCTAGGATGATATAGGAGGATCCAGCTTATTAAATAGACTTCAGGAGGTGCATGGAGCATCTCAACTAAGTTGTCATACTGCCACCAAAAGACTTTGTGTTACATGGAAAGCACGATCCGCAGGCAGCCATGACAGGCTGTGTACAGTGTGAGTGGGATTACTGTCATTAGAAGCCTGCACACAGACACCCAACACGTTCACACGCGCACACACAAGGTTGATCCAGAACAGTGTGTCATCCCTGATTTACCTCTCTACCTGGGCCTCGTTATCCTGCATCTGAGCCACACAAGGAAGAAAGACAACGCGCGTGAGTGCACACTAGGTTTGAAGGAGTATCCCGTCCTGTCATATTGGATCCTATTCTATTAGTGCCCGATTCACTATGACAAAACTGCCTCAACAGTGGTACCTCTACAGTCGATTACTCGAGGTTGTACAATTTGGAAATAGTTCAAGACTTTAGAGAAAAATACTCACACGATGGCCGAATGAGTATCACACTTGTCCAAAATCAGACGTCATTAAAAAAAATTATACAATGGAGGTATTTTACAAATGAAATCTATGAAAATAGATGATACCAATGAATAAAGATTTGTGATAGGGATAAAATGAGCCCAAGTTTGGAAGAAATTGACTGGAATTTCTTAATAATCATCATTTTTGATCAATGATGGATTCAATATTTGCTATTTTTAATACAAAATATATGAACTGAACTATGACATAGGTGAGTACAAATTGGTTGAAAAGTTAGGCTTTCAACTCAACTCAACTCAACTGTATTTATAGAGCACTTTCAAACAGCCATTGCTGCACACAAAGTGCTGTACATGGAGCAACTAACATACACAACAGTAAAGCAACAAATCAGTAACAAAGAGAGCACCAAACAGGATCACTAAGATCATGATTTGGGTCACGCTGAGTCAAATGCCAAAGAATACAAGTGAGTTTTGAGGCGGGTTTTAAAGATGGGCAGCGAGGAGGCTTGCCGAATGTTCAGTGGGAGGTCATTCCAGAGAGAGGGACCAGCAACGGAAAAGGCTTGATCCCCTCTGAGCCTCCGTTTAGTTCTTGGTACTTCTAATAATGTCTGGTCCGCAGAACTGAGGCGCCGGGCAGGTGTGTAGGGGTGGATGAGCTCAGAGAGGTAAGGTGGAGCGAGATCATTTAGAGATTTGAAAACAAATAACAGGATCTTAAAAATAACCCTAAAATGTGTCGGCTATATTAAATGTTGCAATAAAAATGACTAAATACCAGAGATAAGTCACATGTGCAAGTCTCAAGTCGCAAAACCTTGGCACACTGTTAATGTGGTGATAAATCTGTCATCATGTCAATGTGGGAGTAAACATGTATAATCATCAGATTTAAAAATTTAAAAACTAGACGTTTCGGGTGCCGATCTGTTACCCAAATCTAATTAGTGTGTGTAAATGGGTGAATGAAAGTCATTCACTTTGTGCACTTTGGGGGTTGTCACTTTTCGAAGTTGAGTGAAGTTGACGGGCATTCATTTATGGAGTCCCTGCTACCAGGGTTCTAAATTTACTATTTTTGATCACCAGCCAAGTGGCTGATGACTGTCTAAAGTTATCAGCCAACCAGAGTTTTCACTAGCCATGTTATGATCTATGTCATTGTTCCTCTGGCAGTGACTCCTACATTTGCAATAAATACTGTGCTGTAACGCGATGTAATGACGAACAGCGTGCCCATTGGCTGCACGAATTCTGGTATTTCACGCTACAGTCGAGGGTGCAACCAGTGAGAGAAACGAGCAGACGTATAGTGAGGGAGGTAGATAAAAACAGCTAGAGTTTCAAAAAAAATTGGCTGTCGGAAATTCTGATTGGCTAGGAACTTTAGAGAATCACCAACCACACTGGCTGGTGATCATAAAAGTCAATTTACAACCTTGACCGCAGGCGATGACACATCCAACAACAGAGGTTACAGCGTCATAGTAGCTTGTAAAATTTTGACAGCCGAAACTGTTACATCATCTGACTTTTTCTGGTAGAAATGGTGGATGCGATATTACTCATTATTAAATGAATTCATTGTTGATAAAAGTGTGATAAAAGAGCAGAGGCACTGTTGATTTTCAAATAGTTTGTGGTCTTCGGTGTAAAAACATGACGTCAGCTAGGGGAAGTTGAGCTTCAGCAACGCAACGGCAATTCCTCAGGGTAGCATTCAAAACAGCAGTTAGTATCAGCTGTCCGCTTATGCTAATCACACTAAATAGACATCTTTTTCAGTAGCGGCCTTGGCACATGCTACTGCCCAAAACTACACCGCAACTCCAACGACTATAACATAATCAAACATTATTGTAACATTATTTTCAGAAGCTAACGCAGATAAAGCTGTTAGCTAACACTAATCTGTGCCAATATTGTGTGTCACTTCTTTGACATTTGTGGTTCAAAGTGTTTCTTTCATTGTAGAACATCTAGGCTAGGTGACATGTCATTATCTGAGAAATTCAGCGTGGGGTGCTGGTTATGTTAAAAAAAAAAAACACGGTTTCGTAACAGTGGGGGAGGAAACGAAGAACGGCTAGCTCGCAGATACATTTTCAGAAATGACTAAAGATTGACTTGGCCGTTTCATTCCAGACTTGATGGGTGGGCAGACACTCCAGACACACAACTATTTGTAGATGAGGTATTAAAAAGCAAATTTTCTATATGTCTCATTTGAACAAAACACCTGTCCACCATTTTCTGTTGTTGACAGTTTGACTTGCACAAGTTATTTCTACAAAGTATTTCCATTATGTCCACCTGTCCCCCAACAATAAATTTTAAAGAAATCAAGGAGGAAAGATATTGCCGCGTTGTTTCCCCATTGTGTTTCCTGTTCTAATTTCCATTTCCATTCGGGACCCAACACAATATTTCTTCTTATCAGGCAGCAGACTGCTAACGTATAAGAAATCGTTACAAAGATCCATTACAAGATGCCACCTGAAAGCAGGTGTGCTTATGCCATTGTATAATTTATTTGACTATGGATTTTCACTTCGGCTTCATCGCTGCTTTCCAGATGCCTCCTATTCTTGTTGACTGTGTTGTCTTGGAAATAAGAACATCCTGCCAATCGTGGCTAAAGTACAACAAAATGATAGGATTACAAAATTTATGTGTATGGAAGAAGAATACATTTATTTTATCTCACAAACTTTTAAAAATGCAGGGACAAATGCTGTTTTCAAACTGACTGCCATTGGATAAAGTGCAGCAAGTCCTGGCTTCCTAGTTCTAATTTCCAAATGCCTTTTGCGTTTTTTTTTTTTTGGGCTTTTTTTCCCCCTTCAGTACCACATACAGTACCATTCACGGGAGACAACAAACTTGATAATATCCCATTTACTAGGAGGAAGGAGATGGTTTCACTGGCAGTATAATAACATGGGACATGAAGCGTAGCATTATAGAGTAGGAATAAAAGCAGCTTTAATGGTAAAAGTTGAATTCAGAAGCAGTCCTCACCATGTCATGAAATTGCGGCAATTATTAACATTTCAATGCAAATTGGTGTGCGGCAAACATATCGCCAATTCTGAGTATTTTGGGGGAAATAAATGGACAGTGTTTACATGCATTTGATGCAAAAAAAAAAATCACCCTTGTCTAGTAACAAGAAAATGGGCGGAAAGAGTTATTTATTTAATGCAATCTATCTACTACAGTATATGCCATGTACACTTTAAGCATCTTATGCTGCCAACCATGCGTGTCCAAAAGACCTTGTTACTGGCTGCTTTACGAGCAGAGTAAATGTGTGTATGATGTCAAATGTGAAGCTTTCTCATTTAGAATATCTACCAGCACATAAACATTGCTTTACAGCAGAATGGCTGCAAAACAACTACATCAACAGGATGAGTAAATATGTGAGTGGAGGTAATAATTCAAGGTTAAGAATGATGCAGTTACTGCGCATCTCTGCAGGGTGTAGCAAGAAGTTGACACTCACGGATGGATCCCACAGCGGTGGCTCGTTAAAGTAAGCCCAAGCCAGAATTTCCTTTCTAATTCAATGATGCATTAGGAAAGCATGTGCATGAGGGATGCTTTTTGCAAGTCCATGTTAAGCACACATGCTGCACTTAGTATAAAATACATACCCAACAAGACTAGTATATCATGTCATTATGAGACAGCATTAAGGAAGACTGAGGATAAACATTCACTATAAATAGGAGTGGTTTTGTGTGTGTGTGTGTGTGTGTGTGTGTGTGTGTGTGTGTGTGTGTGTGTGTGTCACTTAGCAGGACTGAATGGCTCTTCCAAAGTGCATCTTGTTAATCTTGTTCACACACGCACGCACGCACACACACACACACACACACACACACACACACACACACACACACACACACACACACACACACACACACACAAATTATACCCGCAGGTTCATTTCTGACATCTCAAAAGAGGGGAGGGGAACGGGGCTTGTCGAAGCAAAAAACAGCCACGCATCACAAGATCCACATGTGGAATTTCCCCGTGGTATTGAACAACAGAATAAATGAAATGCAAACACCTGCTCCATCCAACATTTGTTATGCTGTAGCTTACATTACTCAACGACTGGCATTCTGCCTTTGCCAGATTGTAATACCAAGAAGCCTTACACACCAGCAGACAGGAAGGCGCTCAACAGCAGCATCACAACCCTCTGAGCCCCACTCCAATTTTGACAGCCCCGTATGTACCTTCAGAGTGGTGGGAAAGGGTTAGCAGGCTGACGCAGGAAGCTCCGATGCCAGAACCAAACACAGTGATGCGGTTGGAGTCTCCTCCGAAGAAGCCGATGTTCTCACTGATCCACCTTAAAGCCTGGATCTGATCCAGCAGCCCGTAGTTCCCTTTAGCAGCTTGGTCCCCGGTACTGAGGAAGCCTGAAACACATGCAGATGAAGAGATTTGAGACGCATACGGAGTAGAGACATTGTTCAACTGTTATGGTGAGTGCTAAAATAGGCCTTTGCTGACTGGGATGTTTGGGACTTGCATGAAATATGGTCCATGCACCATATGGACCAGAATATTGGGATACGTGGTGATTTGGCCTCTTATAAAAACTCTGAACTCTACCAATGCTTTTGCCCTGGTAGATTCAGCAAATTCGTCAGTCACGCATACTAATGTTAGCATACCTCAGTTCTCAGTTGTGTAGTATTGTACCACGTCCCCCATTTTTGCTGCAATGCCAAATCAAATTAAAGAACAGAGGTGTCATCACTTAACCATCTGAAACCCTTTTGACACGTTCAAGGTCACACGACTTTACCACAGTTGCATGCAAATCCTATTCAACCAACCATTTTGCTCCTTTTGAGTTTGGCGTTGATCAACAGTTAAAACCTTGCCGGTCCATTCAATCGGATGCGGGCCGCTTCCTATTTCGGTCGCAATGCGCATCTTTGTCAACTGTCACCATCTTTTTGTGGATTAATAAAAAGTTATAAAATGTAACATATTGTATGGGAGCCTCAAAAAGCGATCCAGGCATAGTTCATATGGCATCAATGCACACACAACCGTCCTCATGTGCGGTCGTGCACGGACAAATTGGTACAGATCTGAGTCATTAATGGCCCTCCGAAGGAAACCATAAGCACCACATGGCCCGTAACATAAATTTCGTTTGTTACATTCTGCTGTTGTATGTCGCAATACTTTTGTCCATATAGTGCATTGGCTATGAGCCTGTGTCTTCAATGTGAAAGGCAATCTGCTAACCATCACGGCGGCTGACAGCGATGGTGAAATCATGACTGATTCGATGACAAGCTTCTTGGTAAAATCGGAGTGCGTGAGGACGACATGTCATCTGCAATCTTATGGGAAATCAATGTCATGTCATCCTGGGTGAACACCCATCATCTGATATATCGATCAGCCTGGATGAAAACATTATGGATCACTGCAGAAAAAGGGAACAATGGTCATATTTTGAAAACGCAACTAGAGCATCTTTTATCTTCATCTTTAGCATTCGTGACCATATAACAGTCAAAGCATTTCTATCCATGGACATTCCCACTGTGTCATCTGCTAAATGATACCTGATTTGGACAGAGACTCTCTCCTGGGCCCATGAGACCTCATACTGAATTATTGCAGTGCCCTCTCTCAGCGGCTCTCATGAGCCTGCGCCCTGCTGAATGATGGATAATCGAGAGCCAAGGGAGAAGTTCAAAGGCAGGCACTCCCTAAAGTCCCGATGGTGGACTCAATGTCCATCAAACCAGAGAACATGCATGCGAGGCGACAACTCGGAGACGCGTGGACACAAAGGAGCGCCCCTCCCTCCAAGGACTGCTAAACACATCACAGGCAGTGAATGTGGCGGTGGGTTGCATACCCTTCAGCATTTCGCAGCTTTGTTGCTATTTCATGGTCGATGCCTCTATGTAATGATGAGGATTGTTATTAAACCCTGTGGGATGAAAGAGAAACACTTTTAAAGAGATCGCTTGCTTGCAAAAAAAAAAAATAAAATAAAATCTGTGTTTGTGACCCAGGTTAGACAGAGCAATGATCAAACACAGATTAGAAAGCTGCTGCTCTGAACTCATTAGCTGTTTACGCTATGCCCAAAGAGCGTTTGTCCTCACGACCTTTTATCTTTCCTCCTTGTGTGAATCCACCATGACAGACAGCCTACCCCGCCTTCAACATCACACCTGCCATACCCCCGCCCGCCAGTTGGACGCGACTGAGTGTCATCGGAAAAGCCGATTCTGATCATGGAAAGGGTGAAGAGGAAGTGACACAGGCAGCAAAGCAGGAGACAAATGGATCAACAGATGGTCTCCTTCAGACGCATCCCTGAGGATGACTGAGCAGCATGGCACATGCAGAGAAAGGGAGGGCGCGCCAAGGAGACAGGCGGAGGAATAGAAACAGACAGGCAGAGGAGAGGAGAGGGGAGGACTCCATTTGAAGAGCTTTTCATCCACTTCTCTCACCGCTCCTTCTCGTGAGCCATCGCCACAAAAGGGCAACAGACTTGTACTATCTTCTCCTGGGTGCTGGACTTCACTATCCCGAGAATAAAATTTATTTAGGTCATCATGTGTCCGTGAGCTTCTGAAATACAGCAGATGGACTTAGGTATCGAGATACACTCCCTGTGAAATATGTTAATCAATGGGTGGCGTGGCCAGATATTTGAAGGAGCGCTCCCACTAGGCCAATTCGATCATACTGTGCCTTGGTGTGATTGCACCTCCTCCTGTTGTTCACTGGTCCACACTTACACTGCCTCCTGCACTCCTTCATGCTTCAGTACGTTTGTGTATCATCGCTACATGATCAAACATTGGATCTTTCCTTATTTCTTGGCTGATTTCAAGTTGTTCTGTTTACATAGTGGCATGGTGTGAGTGCAACCAATTTGGTCGCCTTGTACATTATAATTTCTCGACGGTGACAAGATTTTCAAAAAAGAAGGGGTTGCATTGGTGCAACCACCTGTTCGGCGGCAGGGACAGGTAATCATCTTCTTGCTACTATTGCCTAAAAAGACAGAGAGCTATTTTTTTAAAAGAGTGAACTAATAAAACTGTGGTGTTGAATGTGATGCAGTTGAAAATTTGGTTGCACCCAACTTTTGTGCTGGTGCACCCAATAAAAAAGTCCCGGCCAACAAGTTAGTCTGGACCCCTGTATAACATGTTCAGGGAGTGTGCCCATGCATGAGTAATTACAGGATGGAATGAGTATTTTAGTTTGAATGATGATTTTGTTTTATTTTATTTCTTTTCTGCAACGTGGTGGTTACCATCAAATATTCTGAGTCAAGGGGAGCTGCTGCCCATCCCCCAGCAGACTTCTAGAAAAAGGTAGGCTACACCCTGGACTGGTTGCAAGGCAATCATAGGGCACATACTGTTTGTACATACAACCGTACAGCATACGTGCTCAGATTCACAATATGAGTGGAAACTGAACCGGCAAGCGGAACAACAGCATGATCACAGGAACCGGTTGGGCACCTGTGGATGTGAAATTAGTCAAACAAACGTAATACTTCCAAATTTGTGTAAAGAAATAGGAGAAGGCACTTGTCTTTCTCCGAGGTGAAGTAACCAAGGTCCAGAAAGGCATCGATCGGATGACATTGTTGTGAAGGAACTGCGCCTACATCAAACACCTCGGGGATGAACTACAGGGACAGAGAGAGATGGTGACCTAGGCCCTCTCAAATGGCCTCGCATCTGTGGCATCCATGGTCCAAAATCTGGTGTGATATTCCCAGAAGATTTTATATCTGCAAAAGTGGAGGCCAACATCATATTTTCCTCAATTTTCACTGCCACACGTGTGAGTGAGTGTAAAGCCCATTTGGCCCGAGTAGTTCAAGCAAAGATCATCTATTCTGCCATGTTCCTAAATGAAAAATAAAAGCCAAAATGATCCCATTGGAACTTAAAAAAAGTCATTATAATTCATTAAAGTATGACAAAATATGATCAATCAGAATTGCATATCCATCTGGCGGGATTAACGCTGTCCAATGCTCCATTCAGTGGGGACTCTTTGTTTCACCAGGCTGATGCTACTGCATTTATAAATATTTATAAATACATGTGGCCATTAAAATGTAGAGAGGTGGAATCCACTATCTGAGACAACAGGACAAGCTGCAGGCACCATTGTAAAAATAATTATTGTATACCTGCTGGCGATGGTTTAATTGGAAAGGTGACAGAGAATATTTTCTTTGGAAAGCAATTAAGATAGCCATGCCTGGCTGTACAGTAGCTATTTCTAAACAGATACACATTTATTGTCTGCCGTGTGTTGCCATTGTCTGGCCCTTAAGCATGATCAGCTGTGTATCCCAGTCTGCTTTTCTAGACTTAAGCAAAAACGTACATATCAGCAATCAATTTCACCCTAAAAAGATGGCTAGACAGGCTCAACTTTTGAATCCTTTACAGGCCTTGAAATAAACTTCATGAAGCTTTTGCTGCAGCTCTCACGAGACACTGTGATTTTCCTGTTATTTACTTGTTTTTGGAGATACCAGCAGAGAGGTACCAGTGATGACAAAGATTATGACCATCATCGAGCCATACACGTATGTACTACATGGGAAAGCTGTGCGAGCGTCGTAGTCCAATAACCCATCCATGGATAATAAAGTTGAACTTGATACTTGATAACTGCGGTGGACGTTTCTGTTTTTGGATTTAACAGTGGTCATTGTCACATTTGTTTACATAGCCCCTGAGCAATAATGGTAAAATGACACATTGTCCATACTGTTATAAATGTTTTTTTTGATGGCAGTGGGCTGAAAACCAAGCAGATGAATTTAATATTACATTTAAAAGAGAACAATTATTCTTGAAATCAACAATACAGTACTGTATAATCATACTGTAGCTGCTCGTTGACAGAATATACTTTATTCTTTACAAAAGGAGAAAAAAAACATGTTTTTAGGGTAGAGGACTGAGCAGGTTTGCAACTGATTCTTGGTTAAAAAAAAACAAAACCTTGTCCTGCAGTTTCAGCTTAAATGGTTTTGTTTTGACATGAGAAAGGCGCATAGCCTGAAGTTGAACTGCGCTAGAAAGATCATATGAATAAACTTGATTTCTGTCAGACCTGGTTACTAAAGTCCAGAATTCATGTCCACTAATAGACTAATTGAAACTCTTCCGCGGACTTGTCTTATGGCATCCTTAGTTTAAGGCCGTGCTAGTAAATCACTTCCAATATGCTTACACACACAAAAAAAAAAAAAAAAAGTGGCAGATTACATAGCCCAACCTCTCTTTGTCAGAGATGGATGAGAGATTAGATTAGTGTTTCTTATTTACCGTAAACAAACAGCATGGATCAACATCAGTCTCTCTGTTCTCAGCCTCAGTATGTCGGA